ATTATACATAATGACCAAGTAGGATCCATCCCAGGGATGCAGGGATGGTTCAACATACACAAATCAATAAATGTAATATACCATATCAACAGACCCAAAGACAAAAACCATGTTATCATCTCAATCAATGCAGAAAAAGCATTTGACAAGATCCAACATCCATTCATGATAAAAACCCTACAAAAAACTGGAATAGATGGTCTTTATTTCAATCTGCTAAAAGCCATCTATGACAAAAAACAGCCAACATCATACTAAATGGACAAAAACTGAAAACACTCTAAAATCAGAAAGAAGTCAAGACTGTCCACTGTCACCACTCTTATCCAATATAGTTCTGGAAACACTGCCCAGAGCAATTAGAGAAGAGAAAGAAATAAAAAGAGTAAGGATAGGAAAGGAAAAAGTTAAATTACCATTATTTGCAGATGAGATGACACTCTACATAAAAGACCCCAAAAACTCTAGCAATAGACTTGCAGATTTCATAACCAATTCAGTAATGTAGCTGGACACAAAGTCAACACTCAAACTGGGGGAGGGATGAGGGAACTACTGCCTTATAAAAAGTAAAAGAAAACTTTGGTGACATGTGGAAAGACTGTATCCCCCATACTACTAATCCAATAAGGAAGTGAGGGAAGGCACCCACATGCTAGGGGATAAACTGCTTGCTGTAACTTCCCCAGATGTGCCTGCTCACAGCAAATACAGCTTTGCAATACTGACTCTAAAACGCTTCTCTTTCACTGCTCTTCATACCTCTGGGTTCATTCCTTAGGTCTGAAAGAGTGAATGCATTTCTCACAATACATTACTGCAGATTCTCCAGAAACAAAAAAGATAGGGATTATTTTTTTAAAAAGCCTCTCAATTAAGTAGGACCAGGAAAAGAACGTCTTCAACCTGATAATTATGTAAATATGTTATGAATATTTAAAAATGTAGCTAACATATTTGGTGATGAAAGACCAAAAGCCTTCCCCATAAAACCAGGACTGAGCGTAGGATGTCTACCCATAGCACTCCATTCAACATTACACTTGAGGTGCTAACCTGCTTAACAAGAAATAAAGCATATGGATTAAGAAGATATTACTATGCTTTTATTCACAGATGACATGATTGTACATTTAAAAATTTCTAAGAACTCAACAAAAATAGATGATGGAACTTAAAGTGAATTTAGCATGATCACATGAGGTCAATATAAAAAATTGTTTCTATGTGCAGAGTCTGAACAATGAAAACTAACACTGTTGAGAGAAATTAAAGAGAAGCTAAAGGATGGAAAAATACATCACGCTCACACACTGAAGACTCAACACTTAAGATGTCAACTGTATGAAATTAACCTCTAGATTCAGTACAATCTTACTGAACATTCCAGCAGGATTTTTTTTTTTTAGAAATTGACAACCTGAATCCAAATGTATTGGACATGCATTAAAAATGAAAAGCTCAAGAGAACTAAAGACAAAGTTGGAGGCCTTAACAATGCCTGACTCCAAAATTTACACAAAGACACATAACTAAGACGAACAGTATGAACACAAGGTTGACATAGAGATCAGCAGAAAAGTCCAGAACAGATGCCCTGGGATCATACTAAGTGACATGAGGAGAATGTTAGGTGGTAAGAGAAAGGTTCAATATCTTGGTTGCAGTGGCAAGGTGATATATATACATTTGTCAAAACTCACTGATACTTGTACAATATAATATGCACTTGAATTTATTTTATTGCATGCAAATTATACTAAAATAAAGATGATATTAAAATATATTTCAAATTAATCCCCCAAATCTACCATGGTCATTAATGTGGATCTGGTCTGAAAGAAAATTAAAATTCTTAAGAACCCATAACTGAGTTCTGGACATTCAATTCTCCTAACCCTCATCTAAGGTAGAAGCTACCAGATGTGAACTTGAAGAAATGCTGGGCAACTGCAAACCCTACCTACTGTGGACTCAAGAGTCAAACCTAAGTGCATCACTGCAGTCAGTCCCTGCCACTATTACTGCCATCCTTTTATTATGCATGTCTTCCTCATAGAAACTTTCCACCAATAAATACTGTTTTCTACTGAAACCATGGTTTTTAAATAGTAACTTAATTGATTTTTAACTTCCTAAGACAAATCAACTTAAAATAGAAGACAAGAAAGATCATGAACCTAAATAATCTATAAACTGAACAATGATAGGCTTAACCAACTCCTATGTACTGAATACCTCAAACTACATTACATAAAAATGCTGGGTATCTTCCCCAAAGAATTAAAAGAATCATACCACAACAATATATGTGCACCCATGTTCATAGCAGCACAGTTTTTAGTAACTAAAACTTGGAAACAGCCCAATTGCCCATCAACTGGAGACTGGAGAAAGATGTGGGTTTTTTATAAAATGGAGTACTACTCAGCCATAAAGAATGAGAAACTAGAGACATTTATAGCTAAATGGATACATATTGAGGGCACAGTCTTAAGTGAAAGAAAGAGGACACACATGTGTAAATAACAAATAGTTTCTCTGGTGTGAGAAACTAAAAGTGTAAGTAAGGATCAAAATGTATAATTGATAATGTGAAATAGGAAGAAAAGTTATAAAGAGGAAGGGGAGGTGGGAGGGGTAGGGGAAAGGAACTAATATGAGAAAAGGAAAAAATGGAAACAAAGTCTCTGTAAACAGGGAGGGTGGAGGGGTTGAAGGGAGGGCAGGGAAGCGAGGAAAAAACAAGAACCGAGATACATCATGTAAAGGTACAAGTTCCCAATGATTAATTTAACTGTATTGTAAACTTAAAATGTACTAATAAACTTAATGCAAAAAAATGCTTAGTGCTGGGTGTGGTGGCTCAGGCCTATAATCCTAGCACTCAGGAGGCTGAGGCAGGAGGATCCTGTAAGTTCGAGACCAGCCTGGGCTACATAGTGAGTTCCAGGTCAGTCTCAATTACACAGTGAGATCTTACCTAAAAAAAAAAAAAAAAAAGCTTACAGCTGGAGATGCAACACAGTGGCAGAGCATATAGCTAGTGTGTGCAAGGACCTGAGTTCAACCCTAGCACCTCAAAATTAAAAATAAAATAACCTGCTCATTTAGTATTTAAATGCATCTCATAAAATCATAAAGAGAAGGATAAATAAATTTCCCTTTTTTCTTTTTTGCAGTACTATGGATTGAATCTAGGGCCTTTACACTAAGCTACATCCCCAGCCCTTTTTTATTTTTTCATTTTGAGACAAGGTCTAGCTAAGTTTCACACACTGGAGTCAAACTTGCAACCCTCTTGCTTCTGCCTTCCAAAGTGTTGAGATTCCAGGCCTGCACTACCACATCCAGCTAGGTAAATTCTAATATATTAATCTTTCCAGCATCACACAGCAGTTTAGTGATAAGACTGTAATTCTCTTCAGTGGTAGAATTCCCACACTGTAAATTCAGATAATCCTCAACTTACAATGGTTTAAGTTAAAAAATTTTTTATTTACTGTGGGTAAAAACAATATGCACTCAATAGAAATCATACTTGGATTTTTTTTTTTCCCCAAACTAGCAATGTGCAGTACATACTCTCTCGCAGGATGATACCATCTAGAAATGCTGCACAGTGATCGTGAGCCACAGCCCCTAGTCTGCCTTGCACATGATCCAGGGGATGAGCTACCAGTACACTCTGAAGTATATTCTGCTGCTTGGTGTGAGGTCTGGTAGGTTGGGCGTATTAAATGCACTTTGGAAATTTGGGCATGGTGGGACAGGCCTGCCAGCCCAGCACTCTGGGAGGCAGAGGAAGGAGGACTGAAAGTTCATGCCTAGCCTGGGGAACTTAGCCAGACCCTGTCTCAAAATAAAAACTCTTTAAAGGAAAGACGGATGTAGTAGCTCAGCGTGACAGCCCTGGGTTTAATACCCAGTACAGCCAAAAAGTATTTTATACTTATGGTGAATTTACTGGAATATAACCCCATCATAAATCAAGAAGCATCTGTATTTTTATTATTACAGATTTTTAGCCTTTAAAATATTAGACCAAGTAATATTTAGTTGAAATACCTAATTTTTATCCTGTAAGAAATAAAATTCTGAGCTGGGCATGGTGGTATATGCATGAAGTTCCAATGACTTGAGAGGTTAAGATGGGAGAATCATTTGAATCCATGAGTTTAAAACCAGCCTGGGCAACTAGAAAGACTCCATCCCAAAAATAAATAAATAAATACTATTATCAGGTGTAATGGCTTACAGCTGTAATCCTAGCTCTAAGGGAGGCTGAGGCAGGAGGATCAGAGGTCCAGGAACCTAAAATGACTGTCTCAAAATAAAAATTATTTAAAAAATAAAAATTATAAAGGTCAGTGGCAGAGCACTTCTGGGTTTAATCCCCAGTACTTACCAAAAACAAAAACAACAACAACAACAAAAAAAAACCTTAATATTTAATATCTAAAAAAAGTTAAAACAGGACCAGGGATTTAGCTCAGTGGTTCCAGCACCTGCCTCACAGGTGCAAGGACCTGAGTTCAATCCCTGGTACCAAAAATAAATAAATAAATATTAAAAAGTTAAAACAAAGAAGCCCATATCATAATAAAAACTTTTACTGTCACAAATACCATAAAATGCACAAAAACATTCAAGTGGAAGGTGGTAGAACATAGAGGAAAAACTTTCACATCCAAGGAGGAAGTGGCCAATCATGGTGGCACACACTTGTAATCCTAGCACTCAGGAAGCTGAGGAAGGAGGATCTAGAGTTCAAGGCCAGTATAAGCTATGTAGTGAGTTAAGGCCAACCTGAACTACACAGTAATACCCTGTCTCAAAAAAAAAAGAAAAAAAAAAAGTGGTGCGAAAGACCTTCTTAAAACTGCAAGACAGAGGAGGTAAAGGTGAGAAATAAGTATGCATACATATTTTTGGTGCTAAACTAATTTTTTAAATAAAAATCAGATTCTTCCTAACTCACAAAGACAAAACATACTTACAGTTATGTGAACACTGAGGAATTATCATCGCAATGTTGAAATAGTCAAAGCAAATTCCACATCGCAGCAAATCATCTATTGTCTGAAATGAAAAAATACATATACATTCAGAAAGACACTAAAATTGGAATGCTTGCCACAGAATTTTTCTTTAGCACCTAAAAACAAACTTCTTTGCCCAATATATATATATTCAAAAGCTAACTGCAGAGACCTACCAGGAATCTTGACAGGGAGAAAATAAATCCTCATATAATCCCCACTCATTCAGAGCTCAGGTTTCTCAAACTGCTCTCCACACATAACATTGATACTGCACTTCCTGCACCTTACTCTCAGCCCTTTACAAAATACCTAATGTATTCTTCCTCTGCTTTCCCTGTGTTTCCAGTTCTTACTCAAAGCCTCCTCCTCTTCAGACCCTGCCCCATGGCCTACAGCTACTGGGGGTGAAAGGAACCAGTAGCCACTGCCATCACATACTTTAAGAACCAAACCAGAAACTATTAAAGCCAAACATTAGGAATCATCTAGTCAAGGGTTGGGGATGTAGCTCAGGAGCATACCACTTGCCTAGTTTGTGCAAGACTCTGGGTTTGATCCCCAGCAGAGCACATCACAAAAAATAATTAAAAATTATATAATTAGAACTTTACTTCACAGATGAGGTAACTGGTATCCAGCACAGGTATGAGTCAGTCAGAACTAAACTTCCTGTCTTCCCTCTCATTGGCAGTCCAGTGCTTCCTGCATGGTACTACCCTGTAGAGCCACATGGGGGAGCCCTGGAAACAGTAGGGACAGTGACAGCAGAGAGATAAGACAGACAAACTAGAGACAGATACAAGTGTGTCAACCTGGAATGCAGTCTAAACTGGGAAGGATCTATTCTTGCAACCCCAAATCTTCTAAATCATTTAAGTAAGGTACAGACAGCACATGTGGTCTGCTAGCTTTCCTTCAAAAGGGAGATCTGAGGGGCCAGGGATGCAGCTCAGGGGAACAGCACTTGCCTAGCATGTACAAGGCCCTCGGTTCACTCCCCAGCACTGTAAAAGAGAGGGGGATAAGAATGCAGTCTTTTTATCACAGGGAGTAAAGGTGTCTGAAAAGATACACAACAAATTAATGAGTAATCATGACTAGGCATCAGGGAACTGGACAAATGAGGGGCACTGTGGAAGGTAGACTTAGTTTTTATGAAAAGAATATATATATTCAAAAGCTAACTCCAGGCAACCTGCAAGGAATCTTGGCAAATATATTTTTATCTTTTTTTAACCATATAAATCTATTACCTAAATTTTAAAATTTGTAAAAAGATTAATGTCATTACTAGTCCATATGAAGAAATTTTATGCCGCCATTAAAATGTTTTCAAAGGCTAATACTACAGGAAAATGTTCATGTTTTAATGGATACTTTATAAGTCAGGAAACAAATCTACAACAGTAACAGTAACTCTGAAGTTTAATCCTAATAGCAACAATAACCACGATAATATCTGTTTATTATTCTTTTGGTTTATAGGATTTTGCACAAAGTAAAACAGAGAATATTACAGATTATCAAACCAAAATTAAGACTCTCTCCACTTCATCTTTTTTTTTTAGGGGGATACCAGGGATCGAATTCAAGACCTTGTGGTCTCCACTTCACCTCTCCTCTTTTTATTCCTTGGTTCCAGGGATTAAACTCAGGATCTTGGGCTTGCAAGGCAGGCGCAATACCACTGAGCTAATCCCCAGCCCTCTGCTGCATCTCTAACCTCCCCCAACTCTTTTCCAAAGGAAGAGCTTGTAATATGGTTTAAATATCTTATTTTCCCTTAAGGTTATACTGTGGAGAGTTTCTCTGATCAAGAAATACTCTTCAGAGGGCTGAGAATGTAGCTCAGTGGTACGGCACTTGCTCAGCATGCATGAAGCCTTGAGTTTGATCTTCAGCACTGCCAAGAACAAAAATATTTTTCAGAAAGATTATTTTCAGAGATGATGTGGTATTATGTGCTGTAAATGTATTTAACTTTCCTCTGTTGTAGGCCATGTTTATTTTTAACTGTTCTTAGAAGTAACACTACAGTAGATATCCTTGTGTAGTACTGATTTTACTTCCGTGGCAATCACTGTTTAGTTGATCTAATTATATAGCATTCAGGGGGGTTCTGTTTTGTCATTCATGATGTTGCTCTTAGTAGCACATATCACTTTGGGTTTGTTTTGTTTTTGTTTTTTAACAAAGAAGAGTCAGTTTTTAATCAGGCATTCAGCTATCTACTGTTTGTTTGTTTGTTTGTTTTTAAACAGACATTATTTTTTTCGAGCAGTTTTAGGTTCCTGGTGAAATTGTAGAGATTCCAGAGTTCCTCTGTCCTCCCTATTTTCTGCTCAAATTTACAGCCTCCCCCACTATAGACATCTGAACCCAGAGAGGCACATTTGGTATAGTCGATGAACTTACAGCATGTCATTATCCATGAAAGTCTAGTTCCCTTGGTACTATTAAGGGCACACATCGCCATTGCAGTGTCATATGGAACAGCTGAAAATCATCGATGTTCTATCTATTTATCCCACACAGCCCTCTCACTGCTAACAAACACTGGTCCTTTAATTACCTTCATGGTTTTGCCTGTTCCAGGAGGATATATAATCACAATCAAACAGGATGGCGCCTGTTACGATTGCACACTCTCCCTTAGGTACACACATCTCAGCTTCTTCCAAGTCTTTATATCTCATTCCTTTTTAGAGAACAGTAATAGTTCATGTCCGGAGGTCCTGAAGTTTAATCCCTACTAAAGGGACATCATTATTGCTCCCAAGTTTTGGCAACTGTGAGTAGAATTGCTATAAACATCCATGTAGGTGTTTCTATGGGGACATAAATTTCCAACTAACTTGGGTAAATTCCAAGGGTATAATTGTTGGACCAGATGGGAAGAGAATGTTTAGTTTTTAAAGAAACTGTTGAGCTGTTTTCAAAAGTAACTGCATCATTTGGTTTGTTTGTTTGTTTGTTTGTTTGTTTTTGGTTTTTTGAGACAGGGTCTCACTACGTAGTTGAGACCGACCCGGAACTCACTGTGTAGCCCCGGCTGGTCTCAAACTCACAGCTATCCTCCTGCCTCAGCCTCCTGAGTGCTGGGATTATAGGCATGCGCCACCACCCCCGGCTGTAACTGCATCATTCTGCATTCCCACCAGCAATGTATGTGAGTTCCTGCTACTTCACACCCTTAGCAGCATTTGGTGTCATCCATGTTCTGAATTTTGAACTTTTTAAGAGGTGTGCAGTGGTATCTCATGATTGCTTTAATTTGTATTTCTTTGATGATACATGATGTTCAGTATTTTTTCATACAAGTTATCTTTATATCATTTTCCCCCAAGGATTTTTAGTCTACGTTTGCAGTACATAATGATTACATTCCTTGCACTGAGTTGGCTCATGTATATACCACATTCCTTCCCCTCCCTCCCCCTCCCGCTTCTTTTTTTTTTTTTTTTTAAGCTTATTGGTACTTTTAAGTATTCAGTACAGTTACATTCATCATTGGGATCTTGTACCTTTACAGGACAGATCTTGGTTCTCATTTTCTCCCCATACCCCTTCCTCCCTTCACTTCCCTATTTACAAAGACTTTGTTTCCATTTTTTCCTTTTCTCATATTTTTTCTTGTACCTATTTCCTTTCCCCTACCCTTCCCACTTCCCCTACACCTTTAGCCCTTTTCTTCCTATTTCACATTATCAGTTATATAATTTAGATCTTATTTGAACTTTTAGTTTCTCTAGTTTCTCATTCTTCATGGCTGAGTAGTATTCCATTTAATAGAAAAACCACACCTTCTTTATCCAGTCTCCAGTTGATGGGCAACTGGGCTGTTTCCAAGTTTTAGCTATTACAAACTGTGCCACTATAAACATGGGTGCACGTATATCACTGTGGTATGATTCTTTTAATTCTTTTTTTTTTTAATTCTTTTGGAAAAGACACCCAACAGAGGGATAGCTGGGTCAAATGGAACCTCTAATCTCTTGATCACCTTCCCCTTTGAGAATGATCTTGTCCCAACTTCCTCTTATATATCTTTTAGTTTGCTCTTTAAATTTGTTTCTCCTGAAACAGAAATTATGCTCTTAAATGCTTGTATATCTGCTTGACTACATTTAACAATGTTCTCAAGGTACATCCATATTCCTACAAATAACTCAAATTTATTAGTGATTTCTTCCTTTATAGCTGAGTAGTACTCCACTTTGTATAAATACATTTTCTTTATCCATTCAGCTGTCCATGGACAGATAAGCTGCTTTTAAGATTCAGCTATTACCAGTTGTGCTGATATAAACATGGATATGTGTGCATTCCTGGAATATTTTGTCTAACTCTTTGGGGAAGATATCTAGAAGGGAAACAGCTGGATCAAATGTAATTTCTAATTTTAGGGTTTTTTTGTTTTGTTTTGTTTTTTTGAGGAATCTCCATACTGCTTTCCATACTAATTTTAAGATTGTATTCTCTAATTTTGGGGGGAATGCTGTTGGTATTTTGATTGGAATTATGGCAATTTTGAAAGTATGGGCATTTTGACTATATTAGTTCTGCCTTCTATTGGTTTTCCCTTATTTGGAAAGTTTTCTGGCATTATTTCAATAAACAGGTGTTTGATAATTCCAATTAGTCTTGGTCTTCTCTATGTCACCTGGAACTGTTAGGTCCACTTTTCATGTTCTTTTGTTTTAACTGAACACTGGTTACACTACTGTCTGTTAGGTCTGACATATTCTTCACATTGGTCACTTCTGCTACCTATACTTTTGACAGAATTTTTAATGTCCTGAATTTCTATTTAGAGGTTTTTACGGACTCCATTTCTTTTCTGTGCTAGTCACTGCATCATTGTTTACCTCTGCTAGCTTTTTATTAGTGACTTCTGTAATTCATTTTCTTTATTTGGCCCACTAACTTATTACTTACATCTTCTGTGAGTTTGCCAAATGCCTTATGGATATGTTTTGTTACCACCTCTGATACCATTTTGAATAATTCAGTGTTTCTTCTCAAATCGGTTTCTTCCCCTGCAATGTCCCACGGATCAGCTTTGGAAGAGTCGGGAGGTTTTGGAGGCATTCTATTGGCTTCTTTTCTAATGTTTTTTTGTTTGTTTGTTTGTTTGTTCTTGTTGTTCAGGCTTGCTGGATGATTACAATGGCAAGTTTTATTTGTAGTATGAAGACCTCTTTAATGTCTACCTTTCAATGATTTCCTCTGAGTGAGGTTAACTACAGGCCTTTGCCTCTGTTCTAGGATCCAACTATGTCCACTCACATGGGATGAGAGGCTGAATTGTCTGGCCCAGGACTCAATTCTCCAGGAATGGGCCCCAGTATTATTAATCTAGATATTGGGATCCCCCCCAAAAAAAACTTAAGAACGAAAGCTATGTCACCTTTGGTATAGTAACAACAACAGTACCAATTACAGCATCAAAAACAAGCAGTATGGACAAACCCTAAGGATCAATAATATACCATCCTTAACCATAGAAAAGATCCCTATAATTATAACATAAACTAAGACAAACCAAATAATGACTTAGTATTGATGTACAGTAAATGTCTACTAAATGGAACTTTACCTCTTCAATACAATACAGTAGAAAAGTATTCAACAGCTATTGTGTAAAGTTAACTAGCTAAGATTCACAGTGTTTAGTAGTTATACTAGTAAAGGTAGGAGGGATAGGAAATCAGAATGAAAAATACAAATTTTGAGAAATTAATCAATAGGATATGAGAAGGAAGAGAGAAAAGTGAGACAGGAGGTCCTACTGAGGAGTAAAAGGAAATTGATAGTGGTTGAGAACAGATACAGAAAAGAACAAACAAGAAAAAAGATAAGATAAACAGCAAAATATAGGAAATAAAATAGAAAAACAGTTGAAAAGGGAAACGAGAAAAAAAAGTAAAGGGGGGGAGAACCCAAGTGCCCAAAAAATCTGATGAAGGAAAGATAAAAATAATTGTAAAATAGTTTTAAAAAAATAAAAGAAAAATTGAGTCAAAGAAAAAAATTCCTGTATTTTTAAGAGTGATTTCTTTCCAAGATCTACAGTTTTGGGATCCAGCCAGTCACTATTTTTTCTACCTAGCTTTAGGGCCAATGGGGTTTTGAGGTACCCTCCTTGTACCAGAGACCCCTCTGTTCATTACCCCAGAATGTGGGTACCATTCAAGCTAAAGTGTGTACTTACTTGTTCCTGTTGGTAGATGGGAAATACAATCAGCCTCCTGGTCTCTGCTGGGTATTGGCCACAGGGCAGGGGTTCAAATGGACTGCTGGACTTAATGTTGACTGTCATGGGGTCTGGTTACTCCCTTCTCTCCCTGCACAATGTCCTAGTCCAGGATCAGGTCAACTGGTTAGTTCTTGCCTCTGCTGCCCAGTGCCAAGTGGCAGTAAAATGTAGATCCAGCTTGAAGTTGGTGAATGGTCTCACCCTTGGGCATGGGGAGCATGTCTTGCACAGGCCTGCTTCCTTGCATGAGGTTGGCTACACATGTAGCACAGGCCTGTTTGCCCATATTAGTGGAGGGGCTCCCCACCATGTGTCTGGAGTAGCACCACATAGCTGGCACAGGCCTGCTTACTCACTCTAAGGAAGGGTTGTTGCTCACGTGGCATGGGCCTGCTTACCTATATCAGGGAAAGAGTACCCAATATCTCAGTTTTAAAGACAAAGCCTATGGAGCTCCAAAGATGTTGGGTCAACCAAAGAAGTTGATTATAAAATAACTTCAAAGTTAAAATGCATAAAGAGAGGAGGAAATCAGAGAAAATGTTAAATGGAAGTAAGTATATAAGTTATTTTCATTTTCTCCTTTAATATTTTCCTACCATGTACATATATACATTTATAATCTATCAAAAAAGTATCTTTCTGTTGTAGTAAAACCAGTGAACTAACATCAAAAATGCAAAAATTTTCCATTATCTGGACAGTTAGTTGTTACAACACAAAAAGCTATAAGGTTGTGCTCAGTTATAAGCAGAGGCAGGACTAGAAACCAAAGCTGATCTATTATACTTCTTTGTATATGCCATCATCTCCTATAAGACAAATGGTTCTCTGAAAAAAACTTCAGAGCATCGTTTATGGAAGGTAACACTGAATCAGATGGGCTACAACACTCTGGTACAAATTTTCAGTCATAGCACTCCAAGAGAGCAACTTGCAGATCTGTCTCAAAAAAATAAAATAAATAAAGTAAAAGCCTGAATGGAGGGCTGTCAGCAGATACACCAAGATTTCTCTAGTTCATAAAGTCAAAGAGGGATATAGATAAAGGATGAAAAGAAGGTTCTTGAACTCCTGGCTACAGATCCCTTTGGAAATTGAATGAAAACTATAATTTTAGCATCCCCCAAGACCCTTCACTTAATCCTCAAAGTCTGCTTTAAGAATAGATGTGATAGATGTTATCATTCCAAAGTTTTAAAAAAGGGAGGAAAGGAGGTAAGTTATACAAGCATAAGTGAAAAAAAAAATAGTAAAAGAAAAGCCAATAAAATGATTCTTTCCCAGCAGAGCAAAGCACACTTGCTCCTGAGCAAAAGTAGCAGGAATCCGGGGCCCATCAAAACCAAAAATGAGGGCCGGCATGGTGGCACATGCCTGTAATCCCAGCACTCAGGAGGCTGAGGCAGGCAGATCACTGTGAGTTCGACACCAACCTAGACTACATAGTGAGTTCCAGGTCAGTTTCAACTATATAGTGACACCCTGGGGGGGGGGATGGAAACTGGTATGCCTTGTCAAAAACAGAAAAATGTGCAGTGACACATACCTGTAATCCCAGTATTCTGGGAGGCTGAGGCAGGAAGAGTGAAATGTTCAAGCCCAGCCTGAGCAACATAGCAACTTAAGAGACCCTATCTCAAAATAAAAAATAAAAAGGGGTAGAGGGGCTGGAGATTCATCTCATTTCAAAGGCCCTGGGTTCAACCTCCGGGGGGGTGGGCAAAGTAAATAAATGTTACAGAGGTACAGGAGCAGTGGAGAGTGCAGGAGGATCACTGAAAGTTCAAGGCCAGCCTGGCTACAAAGGGAGTTCATGGTCAGGCTGAATTACTTGCATAGTGAGACCTTGTCTCAAAAAACAAAATAAAGCTACATAAATAAATAATTCAATAAAACGAACTAGTGCTGAGCCTCAGTCCTGATCTCTGTTTAAGAGAGCGAAATAAGTAATTGTTGGAGGAGTCAGGATATGATAGGGAGGAATGGACGGCAGTTGTTAGGACAAACCGGACAAAACTACTTCCAAACAGTAGTTAGGAGAAATGAACGATCACGTAAAGCAGACTATCTGCTTTGCTACGTGATTTTTTTAAATGTTAACTGATACAATAGCCAGCCAAAATGTTGCCCAGTGTCACTATTTACATAATGTCTGGGACACAGTACACACTCGGAAAGGGTTAGCTTGATACCGCTTACTATCTTTCCGATAACGGTTACTGTTGTGACTGAACTTCAGAACGCCTTGTTTCTTAAGACAGCCAACCTCAGCTCGCTGGGAGGATCTGCAGATTGCTCCCGTCACTTCTCAAGGGAAAAACTGAGGCCCAAAACCCAGCTGCTGGCAAGAAACGGGAGGGCCAAGCACGCCGGCCCAGCTCACCGCTCCCGCCAGGTCTTTTCTCCGACCGAGGCGCGGCTGGCCTCCCCAGACACTCGGAAGGCCCGACCTCCCCGGGGCGCTCACCTTCAAGACTGCCAGGCCCGGGGGCCACCGCGGCTCGCCCAGAGGTTCCATGATCGTCCCAGAGGATGCTGGGGTCCCCCGGGCTCCAGAGCGGGTCTGCCGCTCGAAATTCCCCGCGCTAGTGTGTACGTCAGCAGCCCGCGACGCTTGAGGCAAGCCGGGAGTTGTAGTTGGAGGGCAGAGTGCAGCTTAGTACTGCGCACGCGCCGGACTTGGGGGCCCGCCTGTCAAGGCGGTGAGTGGGTTTTTGTTTTAATTCTACAGCAGGTTGAGTATTAAGAAAAGACAGCCAGAAAATTAAGGCCTTGCCAGATGTTTCAAAATCCATACTCGTGCCTCCTCCTTCGCATCACCTTCCCTAAATGGCTGTAATCTGCCCTGCTCTGAGCAGTTTATCTGAACTTTCTATTCTTTTCTTCCTTCCTTCCTTCCTTCCTTCCTCCTTCCCTTCCCTTCCCTTCCCTTCCCTTCCCTTCCCTTCCCTTCCTTTCGTTTTCACACAGGGTCTCTTGAAGTTACCCAGGCTAGGCTCGAACTTGAAATGCTGGGATCTCAGGTGTGTGCCACCATGCCCAACTACAGAAAGTATTTTTATGCCTGTGCGCTTGTGTGGCCTATTCACTTATTCAGACTCCTTCCCGACGGTTGAAGAACAAGATACAGGTTCCTGGCCCAGGGCACCCCCCTAGTAAGTGGGAGTATTTGAACTCAGGCAATCTGACTGAAGAGTACATATTAAGCACTACATAGTGAGGACCTGGTCATAACATTTATTCCCAATTATAAATATAGGGACTGAGACTCATTCGAGATCACGGTTTTGTAACTGGCAACGCCGAGGCTTGAACCCAGGTCTTTAAATCCCAAACCAGAGGGCATCACCCCCTGACACAGGAGTAACTGAACTGACGAGTGCATGCAGGCAAGGCCAGGCCTGAGAGTCCCAGAATATCTACTGGGGCCAGGAAAGGAAGAGAAGAGTGGAGGGTTGGATGCCCCTGTGACTTTGTACCATCCAATCAGAGAAGGGTATAAAATGAGTTCCAGGTTGAGGGAGGCTGTGGGAAGGTTCTGGCTGCAGGGGGTGGAGTGGTAGAAGGAGACCGTAGGAAAATGGGAGCAAGACCCCACCCGGCCTGCATGCAGTTATGCCCTTATGCAACTAGTTGGCCACAGCTAGTTAGGTTTAAGGTGACAAATGGCTAGGAAGACGAGCAAGGAAGTGGGGAAAAGAAAGAGAATGGGGAAGGGTCAGGTTCAGCAGCACATGCCTGGAATCCCAGCTGCTCAGGAAGCTGAGGCAGGAGATTTGCATGAATGTGGCCAGCCTAGGGAAATTTGTGACACCCAGTCCCAAAATACAAAAGGCCAGGGCTGTAGTATGTGCAAGTACCTAGTATGTGCAAAGGCCCTGGTTTCAATCACCAGTACTGCCAAATAGAAGAGAAAAACGAATGGGGAAGGAAGGAGAAAGGTGGCCGAAAAGGAAATACATTCTTCTCATTCAGCCATGAGGACAGACTCAGCAGGCCCCACTGGTGGAGCCCAATTTACTTCCCCTCCATGCCAGCCATTCACCTCTGAATCTGGCAGAATGAATGATAACTCATCGGACAAGCCCACATCACCACAGATCTTTTCCTCCTGGGAGAAGTTTCCCCCTCTAGTGCTCCTTAGCAGCACCCAGGGAAGAGGCTACCCCTGAGGTCCGGGTGTCTGCGTGGGGGACACTGAAGGAACAAGTGGGGGGGTGGCTGAACTGCCCTAACCTTCCCAAGGAGTTTATCCTCCCCGGAGCCCAGCAGGTGCTGTTCCAGAAACACTGCCTTCTGTAGATCAATACGGAGTTGTGCCTCCTAATTCCAGAGGGAAAGCAGGACGTTCGACGTTCAAGACAGAGCAGATGAGTGCCAGCAGAATGTCCCATAATACATAGCAACGACTGAGGGTCCTGTTAAAGTAACTGGATAAACTGCAGGATGCCCAGCAAGTGTGAGTTTCAGTTACAAAGTGAACAATTTCTAAGTGTCGTATGACCCATTTATTGTATGCAACATACTTGTACTAAAAAAAGAATTCCTTGTTTATCTGAAACTCAGTGTCTTACCGGGCACCCTGAGTTCTGATTGCCATCACTGTGACACTGTCCCAGCTGCATGCATGTCCTCGGCTCCTCTCGAGGACTCCCTCTCACCTGGGCCCTCTCAGCCCTGCATCCTCTCCTGCCCCAGGACCCTGCTCTTTCTAGTTAGGGGAAGCTGATGTGGAAGAAGCTCAGGGCCTCACAGGTCTCTTCTTCCCTTCTCCTCCTCTTCCTCCCCTTCCCCCCTTGTTCATCTTAACAAATGTCCACAGTGCCCTAGCTCACCAGCACCAGCTGCTGAACTACAGGGGAGAAGAAATCAGACTTGGGCCCCCATGCTCAGGGAGCTGATGACTCTGAGGAGGAAACAGGGCCAGGACAGAAACAGCAGGTGAAGCATTCTACCCGGCACAGTAAAGATGACACACATCTGTAGCCCCAGTGACCCAGGAGGCTGAGACGGGAGGGTGGCAACTTTCAGGCTGGCCATCCTGGACAATTTTGCAAGACTGCCTCAAAATGAGGAAGTAACTCATGGTACAGCACTTGCCCACCA